GGTAATTAAGGGTTAAAAATAAAATTAATACTCCGTAAAAAAAATATTGTGAATTATTTTTAGGTTTCAAAGTTGAATATAATGAATTTTTATTATGAACTAATGACAATCAATTATAAATTTGTACTTGTTGAAAGATTATTAAATTATCCATCATCATATACTAAACATTTACACTTTAGTTCATATCAAGGTTTAAAATTGTGGTTACGGTTTTTGCGGCCGTTTCGATGCGTATTGCGGCTGATGCCATGTGAGATAATTTTACACTGGAACGAAATAAGGAAAAAATAAATTGGTGTTGTGGTCCCGATGCGGTCTGATGCGCCTGATGTTGTCCCATTGCAGCTACGATATGGTTTTGTTGCGGTTACGTTGCAGATTTTCCCGTGAATCGAAACACACTGCCATCGTGGCTAGATGCGGTTGCGGTTATATTGCAGCCGCAACACGTGTTGCAGCCTGCAATTTAATACCATGATCGATTTTGTTATTCACCAGGTTTTATTACTCCCTCTCATTATAAATTTAGTCGTATTTTGTTGATAAGTTTTGTTTCAATTATATTTTTAAGAAAAAACCTTTTAAATATTTGTGACATACGGGACCTTTAAGATGGATCCTGTATGTTCAAATATTTTGGGCATATGGGACCTTTAAGAAGGGGTTCCCTATGTCGAAATATTTGTGACCTACGCTAACTGTTACTTCCTCCATCCCTTATAATTTTACTTTACTTTTTTGGTATGAATTAAATAAGTAGTTGCTATCTAAAATACTCTCAAAACTAATTCCAATAAGATAGCCTATCGAATGGATTAATTTAGCTTTATGGAAGAGTCCAAAACCAATTCCAATTGATCAAGTCTAATAAAAGAACAACGAATTAAAAATAACTAATAAATTGTTAAATAATTCTCTAACTAATGAAGAGTCCAAAACCAATTCGAATTCATTCTCTAACGAATGGATTGTTAAAGAATTAATGAATTAAAAGTGATGCTAAATATTATAATTGTTAACCAATTAAAAGATGCCACATCAACGTTTTAAAACTCAAGTTTACTATATAAAACAATAGATAGCCCCCATTTAACACAGAATTATTAGCTTACCGTAAACTCTCGTATGGTAGCTTTTCTTTCATGGACGCACATGCTTGTCTTACCATTCTCATAAGCCTGCAATAATCAAGGGTTGATGAATCATAATTGTCATTTGGTGTTTTTTTTGGGTACATGTCATTTGGCGATTTCAACTCTGAATTCATAAGCTATTGAATACTTTTAGTTACTACCTTGAATATAAAGATCCTGATCAAACCAAAAGCACCATCAAGTTTACAATAAGCCCATTGAACTTGAAAAATAAACTTATGAGCACAGGGAGTGTATGACAGCCTCATTTGAAGGCAAGCATCTCCATATGCTCTTGGGTAATATGAAGCCATGTGTGTATCTCAACAAAAACCAATGTTATTAACTTATTACTCATAAAACGTCAATCCCAACTACAATGAAATGCACATATGCTATGGATGGTAGGAAATTCAGAGAAATCATATGGGGAAAGAATTAAATCGATCAGTTTTTTCCACACATGAAATAACCCATAGAAATTTCATGGCATTTGAAAATTTTATTTCTGACCTACAAGTGAAAACACACGATACAAAAAAATTATAAAACAGTACCAATCAATTCAAATGAATTATCAATTCAAATGAATTATAAGTAGTAAACTTATTCTCCCGCAAAATTAAGCAATTAAATTTTAGTGAGCCCAAAAATAGAATTATAAGAAATGCAAAGGGGTACAAATGTACAATACAAGTGAATCTTTAAAAGACTTCCACATTACAACAAAAAGCATTAATACTAAAAAGAGTTTGAAATGTTACCCATTACATAGTCTCCTATCCTTTTCATTTTTATAAAATATCAACCATATATCTACATATAAATTAGGTAATCTAGATTCATATATCAAGAACTTCTTCATCCAAAGAGACTATATTGGGTTGCTAATATTGGTTCCTTAAGCTTATATATGGTTCATAACCATATATCCTTTTCATTTTTCCACTTTTAGTCATCCGACTATTGTCTCATTGACATTTTTGGTACTCGACTTTGATTTTTTCCATTTTTAGTCCTTGACTATTGCGCTAGAGACACTTTTGGTACCCGTCTTTGAAAATTTTCACATTTAGTCCTTCAACTTTCATAAAAGTGACACTTTTGGTCCTTCAACTATTATAATAGTGACTTTTTTAGTCCTCCACTTATTGTGTCAAAATCATAATGAGAGGACTAAAAGTGTCAATTTGACAATACTCAGGGACTAAATGTGGGAAACCTTGAAGTCGGGGACTAAAACTGTCTCTAGCACAATAGTCAAGGACTAAAAATGGAACAATTAGAAGTCGAGTACCAAAAGTGTCATTGACATAATAGTCGAGGGACCAAAAATGGCAAAAACTCTAATATAGTCAAGCATAGATGTTTCCATAGTTGCTAGTATATAACCACATTGTACAGTACCATCAAATGCTTTCAGCTGCTAGTATATCGCCAAATATCAAATCATCTTGTACTTTAACATCTATCATAACATTTAATTTTTATAAAATGTCAAATCCTATATGCCTTAAGGGAGAATACTCTCCCTAAAATTTCCCGCTTCTCTTTCCGTCGGTTACACGCTTTATTATTCTTTCCGTTTCTTAGAATTGTTTCTCACCGGAAGCAATAAAATCATTGCTTCTGCAAATCCAGTCTTCTGGAAAATCATTGTTTCTTTCACATTTCAGTATAGAACAAAAAATAGCAGAGTTAACACACCATTACCAAACTCTTCAATCGTAGAATCAACTGGCTTCTGCAAATCCAGTCTTCTGAAGCTAATCAACATTTCAATTGCTCTTCCTCTCTTGAAATGACCTACCCACAATCCCACACGCTTTGTACAACATCATGGATTCATCGAAACCCTTATCTACATCGCGAAGTAAATGCCCTGTTCTACATCGTGGAAAATCACTTGTGCACTGTGGCCATCAATACTCTGCTCCACATCTAGGTAAGCATTGAGCAGAAAAAATTGTCAGGTTCTTCAGCTTTTAACACTTACTAAGGGAATATATGAAGTCCAGTTCTGATCTTTTGTTTTTTCAGCCTTTGATTTCATTTCTTTGTACCAAAATGACCTTTTCTTCTAAAATAACAGTTTTAAGTTGATTCTCAAAAGCTGATTTGAACCCTTTTTATTCACAGTTCTTCACTCGGTGGGTGGGCAGTTCATATAAAAGGTTTGGCCGTAGATTTTATGGCATCACACCTGATTTTTGTTTTCTATGTTTTCATTATTCCAAATCCATTTTATTATGTGCTCATTAGAATTCTCCAAGATTTTCAACAAAAAAACATTACAGCATTTTTCTATAGATATTCATTCCTTTTCTTCTAACACACTCATATGTTTAAATGCCTTCAACTAGATATTAGAGATGCTTAAGATTGGTTATTTTGACAAAAAATGTTAGTGCCTTGATCAGGATTTTGAACATACAAGTTAGGAAAGGATTTTGAACAAAAGGTGTTAGCTACATTCCTGTATCTTAGAAGCTGCATTATTTGTAATCTACCTAGGACAGGATTCCTAGATCAATGCATGTCTTTTCCTAAATTGCAATCATATACCTTATGCTTGCAAATGAAGAAAAACATTACATAGAACTGAGTCTATGCTCATGTTGATTCGTGAAGGCAAAACTTTCAATCTGGCCATGCAATCTGTTGTAATGGAGCCAATGCAGATTAGAAATGATTGCAACGGTATAGCTTTGAGATATGAGATATTGAAATAAAGGTGAATCTCTTAAATTTTTACTTAGTTCTAAAATAGCTTTGGGTATTTATTTCATTATCAATTTAGCGCAAACAAGTGTAAGGGAAACATTATCAACTTGGTTATCCAGTTTTCTAGCTTGGATCTCCTTCTGCTGTACTCTAATACTCTGTATGATATAATGAAAAAGGTAGTTTTTTTTATTACATATCGTGATATGGAGTAGATTTGTTTAAGAAAGCAACTCAATTATGAAATTTAAAAATTCACTATAAGCAATTCCGTAGTACATAAAATGTCATCATCTTACAATTTGGGCTCATTATAATGTATTTGAAGGGAGGTAACCATGAAAGCGATCTTGGCTGTTTATAATATACTTCAATTCTATGTTTTAGAGTGATTATTGGCTGTTTAGAACATGTTTTAGGCTGCTTTTCTACATGAGTTTATCAAACTTAAGTTGAGTTGTCTTACATTTTGATGGCTACTGCCCTTTTATTGCATTTTCGTGCTGGGCAGTTTTTCTATTGCATATGGATCAAATTTCAGATGCTTCATCAACAACAAAAGTCTTGAGGAGTAACCTCAAGACTTTGTTTTTCGTGCTAGGCAGTTTTTTCATTTTTTTCATTTTTCGTTGTTCTGTCAGTTTCTTTCCGTCATTGAGTTCTTATGAAATGATCAATGGCTTTCGATTAATAAAAAGAAACCAAAATAGTATCTTAAAGCTGAAAATCTCACACATCGACATTTTAAGATTCTTTGAGTATAATATTTCACCTCTTGATCTGTTTAGCAAATCCAATGGATATTGTGTCATTTATGAACCAAGCTGTAGTGTTGATTTAAAAAAGTCTTTATTATCTAAAGAGTAGTTATTGTTACGTTTTAAGATGCCTATCAATGAAGTTTTTTTAAAATTTTATTGACAAGAAAAGGAACAACTTCAACTTTGTGCTTATTGTAACACTCTCACAGGAGAAGAAGAGTGCTATTCTGGGCTTATTTATTTTGGGTCTCTTTCATGGATGTCATGATTGATAAATGGCTGCTCATATCAATCTGTAGTGTTTATTAAATAAAATAAAAAGTCTTTATTATTTAAAGAGTATATTAGAAATGTAAAGAGAAGAAATGTAAACTGATCTTATTGATTGAAGAAGATGATACAAAGTATTTATAGACTTGCTAGGTCTTACAAAGCTTAGCTCAATAGACTAAACTAAGTCAACCGAAAATGAGAACAAACTAACAAACTTATAACCGACTAACTATAAGTCTGTCTAACATTCCCCCCTCAAAGTTAGGGTGATTGAGGACTGAGATCAATCACACTAAGTTTGTTCTTGAGTTCCAGAAATCTTGAAGCAGATAAAGGTTTAGTCAGTACATCAGCTAGCTGATGTAGAGCAGGAATATGGAACACTTCAAGTTGCTTCAGGTGAACCTTTTCTCTCACAAAGAAGAGATCAATCTCCATATGTTTAATTCTGGAGTGTAAGACAGGATTGTGAGCAAAGCTGGACAGTACTAAGATTATCACTGGGAATAGCAAAAGGAACTTGAAGTTCTTTCAGTAGGAATTGTATCCACAGAAGTTCTGCTGCAGTATAAGCAAGAATTCTGTACTCTGCCTCTGTGGAAGATCTTGCAACACAAAGTTGTTTCCTTGACCACCAGGAAATAATGTTGGATCCAAGGAAGACACAGGAGCCAGAGGTTGACTTCCTGTCTGTAGGGTCTGAAGCCCAATCAGCATCACAGAAAGCTGAGATGGAAAGAGACATAGTTTTCAAGGGAAAGGGTTTGATTATAAGACCATGAGTGATAGTGCCTGAGAGATAGCGTAGCATGTGCTTTACTGCCTGCCAGTGTTCTTCCAGTGGTGCAGCCATGAATTGGCATACTTTATTAACAGCATAGCAAATTTCAGGTCTAGTTAGAGTGGCATATTGCAGAACACCAACTATGGACCTGTAATGTGAGGGATTGGGTAGATAGTTGCTGCCTTCATTAGTGAGCTTGCAAGTGCTGACCATGGGAGTTTTGGCTCCTTTTGATTGTATCATGCTTATTCATGCCTGTCTTATTGAGGAGATCTCTTGTGTATTTGGCCTGAGACAAATGAAGACGGCCATCAGGTAGTTTGCTTGCTTCTATTCCCAAGAAGAAATCTAAATCTCCTAGATGTTTAAGAGAAAAAGTTGAGTCTAATTTCTGAATGAGTTGAGCAATAGCAGTAGGATTATTCCCAATCACCAGTATATCATCAACATATATCAAGATGTATATCTGAACTTCAGATGACAAAAAATAAAGCAAGGATCACATCTGCTTTGTTTGAACCCAGCAGCATATAAGACTGAAGTAAGCTTAAGAAACCAAGCTCTTGGAGCTTGTTTTAAGCCATATAGAGATTTATGAAGCTTACACACCAATGAAGTGTCCTGAACTTGAAAAACCTGGGGGTTGCACCATGTATACCTCTTCATCAATAACTCCGTTTAGAAAGGCATGGTTTACATCAAGCTGCTGGATAGACCAATGATTAGATACAGCAATAGTGAGTAAAATTCTGATGGTAATAGGTTTAACCACTGGAGAGAAAGTTTCTCCAAAGACAAAACCAAGCCTTTGATGAAAACCTTTGGCAACCATTCTTGCCTTGTACTTATTCCAAGTACCATCCACATTTTCCTTAATCATGTAAACGCATTTACATCCAATAGCTTGTTTATCTGGGGGTAGGGGAACAAGGGTCCAAGTATTGTTAGATATTAGGGCATCATATTCAGATTTTATAGCCTCAAACCATTCAGGAGAAGAGAGAGCTTGCTTCACTGATTTAGGTTCAATATGAGCCAACAGAAGGGTGGGATTAAGTCTAGGTTTTACTATTCCTGATTGTTAGGAATTTAATTCATGCACACGAAAAACAATAATGAAGAACACATGAAATTTGGTAACCCATTTCGCCACGAATGACTACACCTGGGGGCGCTACCAAGCCAGGAATATTATTGCTATTTTCGAAGCCAAGAGATTACAATGGGAGAGAGCTTGTATTTATAGAGAGTAAAACCTACCCCTAATCCAACTAGGAGGCTCGGCCGAAAAAAAAAATGTACGGCCCAACTGTACGGAATCCGTACGGCCCACTTGTACGGAATTGTACAGAAAACTTATTCGTCAAAAACGGGCCAAATGGGAGATTGGTTATACAGTCTCTAACACCTTACACTGATTTGGCTCTAGTTCTCATAGGGCGAGTGTTAGTCAGGGGAACTAATGGGACTGTGGAAGGAGAAGAAGAATTGGAGATATTATGAGTAGAGGTTGCACTAGGAGAAACAGATGACTGGGGTGATACATCATGGTTGTCAGGATGTAAAGAAGTTGATGGTTGTGCAGCAAAATGATTAGAATCTGATTTGGATGAATCAGTTGAGGAAGAAGGTGTATTTGAAATGGGTTTGATTTGGATGAATCAGTGGAAGAAGGAGGATGTTTATTTGAAGTTGAGATGAATCAGTTGAAGAAGATTGTGATAGAGACACGGGAGGCCAGCCCATTACTAACAATAGCGTTGACTATTATGACCGTGTTTACTCAAGGAGGAAAAACGGGAATAATTAATAGCTTGGTATTGCGGGGGAAGTACTATAAATACTAAATTGCTGTAATAAGGGTTAGGCTGGTTTTTGATTATTTTGGGCTGGGACTTGTTGGTTATCTGTCAGACCTATTCTCTCTCTTGTTTGTTAATAAACGACCTCCCTATTACTGTTCATCTTCGTTTCTGCCATATCTGTGGTTCGGATTACTCTTCGGCAGGTGGAATCCCTATCAGATTGGCTTGGATTAAGGAATGGTGAGTGAACTTGAGGAGGTGCAGTAGAATGAGTGGAGGCAGATTGTTGATCTGAGAAGTATGAAGGAGAAAATAGAGTGGTGTAAGGAAATTTAGATTCCTGAAAGATAACATCTCGAGAGAGAGATATCTTGCTAGAGGGTGATAAGCATTTATAACCTTTATGATTTGAGGAATAGCCTATGAACACACACTCCTCAGAATGAAAATCCATTTTATGCTTGTTGTATGGACGTATGAAAGGATAGTAAGAACATCCAAACACTTTTAAGAAGGAATAGTCAGGAATGGAGCCATATAGCTTGAAATAGGGACTAGAGTTAGAAAGAGATTTTGAAGGTGTCCTGTTACTGAGATGAACAGCACTAACAAATGCTGCATCCCAGAATTTGAGAGGGAGAGATGAGTGAGCAAGAAAGGACAGTCCCTCTTCAACAATGGTGCGGTGTTTGCGTTCAACCACACCATCAGATTGTATGAGTCTATGAGTTCCTTTTTCAGAAAGTAATTTGGTAAAGGATCTGAACTCACCTCCTCAATCAGATTGTATAGATTTGATGGAAACAGAGAATTGATTAAGAATATATTGATAGAAGTTGGTGAAAGCAAGAAGGGCATCAGATTTCTTTTTAAGAAAATAGAGCCAAGTGTATCTGGTACATGCATCTATGAAAGAGATATAGTATGTATAACCATCAAATGAGGTGATAGGAGCAGGCCCCCACAAATCACAAATCAGTGAAGATGAGTCCAAATGGTGAATTGAAAATAGTGGTAGAATTAGATGATGGTAATCTGTAAGCTTTGCCAAGGCAACATGCTGAACAAAAATCAACACTATTTTTATTGATATGAGGGATATTACATAGTTGGAGAACAGATTTCAATGCCTCAAAATGAGGATGACCTAGTTTTAAGTGCCACAGATTACAAACTTGAGAAACATTACAAGATTTGGAATTATTACAAGATTTTAGAACACTACTAGGTGATGATGCAACACTGGCAAGACTGGTTGAAGAGGACCATCTTCTCCAAGGAAACCATGTAAAAGGACTTGCTTAGAAACCTGAGATTTGACAAAGCAATCAAAAGGATGAAATTCAAAGAAGACATTATTGTCTTTTGCAAACTGACTAACACTAAGGAGATTTTTAGTAATTGAAGGAACATGAAGAATATTATTAAGGGAAAGCTGCAGGGATGATTGATAGGGAGAAGGAAATGTAGAAAAACCTATAGACTTAATGTCCACACCTTGGTCATTGCCCATAAAGAGCTTATGGGTAGAAGCAAGAGTCTCACCGGGTGAAGGATTGGATGGAGGGTTGTAGGGTGCAGGATGATTGTAGGCTGCAGGATGATTGTAAGATGAAAGAAGAGGTGAAGTATTGTATGGAGGATTATAGGATTGCTGATTCCAATTGGCAAACTGTGTAGGTGGTCCTAAATGGTTTGGATTGGTAAAATTTGTGTTGTATGATGGTGGCCTTTGTGAATGTGGATTGAATGAAGGGTTTGAATATTGTGAGTACTGATTGGATGAGTTTGACGAAGAGGTATTGGGTACAGTATAGGCTGGATTATAGCGATAGTAACATATTAGGGCATGGTGACCACTTTTGCCACAGACTTGGCAAACTACGGGATTTCTTCCACCAGAACGACCACCACCACGACCTCTGCCAAAGTTTCCATGACCTCTGCCTCGATAGGAGTGGTTTTCAGAATTGTTGAACTGAGCGAGTTGTACAGAGGCATTATCTGAAGAATTCTCCAAAGGAATTTGAGAAGCAGACTCAGTATTTTGAGAAGATGTCTCCAGACGAGCAATGTTTGCAGAGAATAAGGCTTGTTGTGAGGAATCGCGAAGTTTCTGTAGACGCATTTCTTTAGCAGATAAGAGAGATTCAACTTGCGAAAGAGATACAGGATCTAGAACACTTCGTGAGGATATAGATGAAGCTAGGGATTCGTACTCCTCAGGAAGTCCTTCCAGAATGACATTAACATGATCCTTGGCTGAGATTGTTTCTCTGATTGCAGTTAGGTTATCCACAATATTTTGTATGCGAAGAAGATAGGCTGAAATTGATCGATCACCTTTAGAGGTATTGTACAGTTCCGATTTGAGTTGTCGTGCTTTAGCAAAGATGTGCGAGTGAAAATACTTGTTGATTTCAGTCCATAGTTGGTGCGAATGTCTACAATGAATAACCCTAGCGTGAAATGTTTCAGATAGAGATGCCAGAAGCCATGAGAATAGCATTTGGTCTTGTTGTTCCCAGATGACGTATGCTTCGTTCTCGATTCCATTGTTCTCATCTTCGCAATTGAGAAAACGAACTAGAATTGCAGGTTTAACAAGAAATCGGAGCAGTTTGTGAGCACGAACTACCGATTCAGCATGATGTTTCCAGAAAAGACAGTTGGTTGAATCTAGCTTTACTGGAAGAGGATGTGTGAAGGTTACTGGAGTCAGAGATGCTCCAGTAGAATTGGAAGTTGAATCTGAAGTGGTCGCCATTGATGGATCGAGCAGAGCTCTGATACCATATTAGAAACGTAAAGAGAAGAAATGTAAACTGATCTTATTGATGGAAGAAGATGATACAAAGTATTTATAGACTTGCTAGGTCTTACAAAGCTCAGCTCAATAGACTAAACCCATGTCAATCAGAAGCTTCTTCTGAAATCAGCTTGTGCATGAAAAATCTCTGTTAAGGTCTCCCATAGTCCCATGAGTCAAAAAGCAAGCAAACTAGAAGTTGCATCAAGGTATTTTGAAAATGAGATGTAATTGTTTCAGTTATGTCATTGATATGATCTTTTTTGTTTGTTGTAATGGGATTTGCACTAAAAATATTTAAAGCAAAGATCTTAGTTTGGTGTCATTACCTCTTAAAGATATTTAGGCTAAGCTTTTATCACTCTAAGTTAGGTGCACTATTTGTGTATTTGGTTGAAAAAAACTGGTATTTATTTTTTTTATTAAACTAAAAATACTTTTTGAGTAGGGTGACAGTGTGGTATCGCCAGCATGGTGCCTCTCAGGATGACTTCTTGAAGACATTATCGAGTGTGATACGAAACTCTTCGATTCAATATTTGTCCCGATAAAACTCTCATAACCACCTGTATTACTATGTAATAAGTTTTTATATTCATTCTTACAGTTGCAAAACATCAGATATGTTGAATTCATCATCCTATTTGCTAACAGAAGCTATAAAGCATGATGACATACTTTTTAAAGTTCCTCACGTTATCATCCTATTCATACCTCTACCGTCTACACATAGTACTACGTTTTTTGTACTTCAAGAAGTTAACTAAAACTCTTACAAAGCGGGTACAAAAATGAGTTACTATAATCAAATGAAACATATAGCTTTGATTATTTAGTACGGATTACATTGAAAACTAATCAATGTAATATTTGTTTTTAAAATCAAATAGTATTAGAATTTGAAATGAAAAAAAAACTAGAGTCACAGGCATATAAGGATTAAGTTCATGATATGAGACGATAAAAGAAATATGAATAAAAATGTATACATGGAGGTCTTCAATAATTTGTAATATATTGCATATTAAATTTTTAATATTTGTTAGTACCCTAACTGTCTTTCAATAATTTACTTATGGATTTAAAACGTATATTAACATATATATTACAGAGTAACATTTTATATTATCTGCATATTGCCTCCCATGCAACGCACAGGTGGAATACTAGTATAAAAGTAATGTGTGTGAAATGAATCCTTCTATTCTAAACTTCTGCGCCAAACATGGTCAATAGAGTTTAATGATTAATGAAGCACTATGTTTCATTTGACCGTGCTATTAAAAAAAACTATGACAGAGTTGGCGAATAAAGCTTTTCAGTGACCATCTTACGTTGATAGAGCAAACAATAATTGGAGCAAGAGAACATAAATTCAAAAAATAAATATTTGGTTTGATTTCTGATCTCTTAGTAAGCTACTAATATCACATTCAAAAGATGAGTGTGGCAGAGATGCGTGTTGCGTTGGATGTGTGGACATACCAGAAAAGACCGCTTGAGGAATGAAATAATCTGACACAAGGTAGGTGTAGCACCTCAAGGTGGGTGTAGCACCTATAGAAGATAGGATGCAGGAGTCTTGTTGGCAGTGATTTGGGCATGTGCGTAGAAGACCGAGTGATGCACCTGTTAGACGACTTGAGAGGTGGGGAGAAGAGACAAAGAGGAGAGGGAGGGAAAGGCCCAAACAGACTTGGATTAAAGAAATCAGAACAGATATGCATCTTCTTGGGTTGGATGAGACTCATGAGAGTATAGCTTTGGAGCGGGCATAGTGGAGGACGCACATTTGTGTGGACGATTGATCTTTTTTCTTTTTTTCCTCTCTCTTTTTCTTTTCTTTTCTTTTCTTTTATCGCTTATCTTCTTTGTCTTTTTATGTTCTTATGTTATTTTTATCTTCTCCCTTTAATGTTCTTTTATCTTTTAATCTTTTATCTTTCTTATATTCTTATGTTATTGTTACCTTATATTTATTCATCTTTATCATATTCGTTTTATCGTTTTTTTTCTTCTTGTCTGTCTTCTCCTTTTGGCATCGATATCATGGATCGGTTCATGTTAGCCGACCCCAAAACCTTTTGGGATTAAGACTTGGATGTTGTTGTTGTACTAAGCTACTAATATGTGTTCTTTCGGAGGCTATTACCGGTAGTTCTTTTTCTTTCTTGTCCAAACTGATACATGATTACATGGAGTTCCATGATAGAGACTCAATTAGACCTAAGTAATAAATGGAGCTTCATAATAGAATCTCATTTAGAAGAATTAATTACCGATCATAAACCTAAATAGTCCCTAATTACAGAATTTGTAAAGCAGACAACCTAGTCAAGTATATGAGTAAGCCATTGAAACAATGCAATAAAAGTACATCAAACATGAGAAAGTAGTAAACCAGATTTAAGGCTACTCTTCTTCTGGCGAGGCGAGGGAACCCGGCGACCAATCCCTAGCGCCAGGACGCCTAGTCGGCGACTAGGCAACGCCGTGACAAGTATGTTAATACTATGTTGAACATGAGAAATTCAAACTAATGACTTGCAAAATTGGGAATATGATGAATATACACATTCATTTCCACAAATGCTTTACAGAGCAATAATTTGTTGGCCAATAAATAGAGTTCAACAAACACAGTCAATAGATAGATGTGGCAAAGGGCTAGAAGCCTTACTCACAGAATAGTTCTGAGCGGCGGAAGAGAGTTGTTGCCAATCAAGAAATAAACTCTTCAATTGCCATAACCAGCGCTTCAAAGGAGATAGAAAGAACGAAGGATTATGAGCGATTTTCAGTTGTATATTGAATGATCATGTCATCTTTACATGTAATAAACATCATTAGTGATTAAAACAAATGAAAGCAATGACTTACATGTGGGGAAGAAGAAGTCGGGTGAGAAACTTGAGTGCCAGTGTTCCCAATGAGCGGGAGGGGATGGGTTAGCTAACCCTAAGATCCATTTGTAACTTCATGAATCTGTGAAACGAAAAGAGAAGCAGAGTACAGTTAGCGGTGTTATATTAACGGAAAGATGGAAAACATATACTGACACAAACCAAAGAGAGAGTACACTGCCTTAACCCTGTGGTACATTCTTATAGAGATTTCATGTTACACCAACAAATGTTTTACATTCATGCTTATAATTTTGTAAATATAATGGCAGAGCGAAAGGAGTAGAGTGCTTAAACCAGCGTGCCCATTCATTTAGGGTAGATACTTTTTTTTCAGAACAACAACATACTAGCACCCGTTGATAAGCTTTGATTCACATAGAAGTATGTAACATAAGAAGAAATTAGCATATCAAGTAGATAAGTGTGAAATACGTTTGACGTTAAAATACTAATGTTAGTGTCAACCCTTTGATTGAGATGAATGTCATAACAGCACATTCATGTGTATGCACAATACATATTATGGTTTAATATTGTCAACTGTGTGTCTAACAAAAAACTAAGCTTATATAAGTAAAATTCTCATTACTAAAGTAGGGAGGACAGCGGAATTCCCTATTACTATCGGAGTGCACCAAGGATCAGCTCTAAGCCCTTTCCTATTTGACATAGTCATGGATGAACTTACAAAGTCAATTCAAGACGATATACCGTGGTGTATGATGTTTGCCGACGATATTGTATTGATTGATGAGACGCAATCAAGGGTTAAAGCAAAGTTGGAAGTATGGCGACAAACATTGGAGAACAAGGGTTTCGGACTAAGTCGGAGCAAGACAGAGTACATGAAGTGCAAGTTTGGTGGAGGTAGAAGCAGTGATAATAGCGGAATTACTCTAGATGGTAAGGAGATACCGATCAACGATATGTTTCGTTACTTGGGCTCCATTATTCAGAAGGACGGTGAGTTAGATGGAGATGTGGAAGAGTGTGTCAGGATTTCTATGCGATCGAGGTATGCCGACTAGATTGAAAGGTAAATTTTATAGGACAGCAATTAGGCCGTCAATTAGGCCGGCATTACTGTATGGTACAGAGTGTTGGGCGGTGAAACAATGTCACATTCAAAAGATGAGTGTGGCAGAGATGCGCATGCTGCGTTGGATGTGTGGGCATACTAGAAAGGACCGCGTGAGGAATGAGACAATCAGACAAAGGGTGGGAGTAAAAGATAAGATGCGGGAGTCGCGCCTACGGTGGTTTGGTCATGTGCATAGAAGACCGCGTGATGCACCTGTCAGACAAGTTGAGATGTGTGGAGAAGAGGCAGGGAAGAGAGGGAGAGGAAGGCCCAAACAGACGTGGGTTAGAAGAGTCAGAAGTGATATACTTCTTGGATTGGATGAGGGTATGACTTTGGAGAGAGCAAAGTGGAGGGCGTGTATTCGTGTGGAGTGATCTTGTATCATCTTCCCCCTCCCCCCTTTTAATCCTTTTATCCTTTTATATAAATATAACTTTTTTCCTTTGTATTTTATCTTTTATATGTATATTATTCATCTCTTTTCTATTATCTTTTTTATAATAGCTTATCTTTTTTATCTTTATTTCCTTTTTCTCCTTTTGGCGATATCATGTATCGATTCATGTTAGCGGACCCCAATATCGTTTGGGACTAAGGCTTGGATGTTGTTGTTATAGAAGTAAAATTCTCAACATAAACAAACTGAACATATTATGGAAACATGTTCACTAAGGATAATATAATACAAGTATATAGTAAATTAATTTAATGAGACCAACATAAACAAATCAAGTTTTACTTATTACGTTTCTTTCTTTCCAATGAAACTACAATTTTCAATGAAACTACAAATTTGAGGATCCTATAGGAAAACTGCTTTTAGTATAGGAGCTGACAGAATATTCTACAAGCAATATGTATATAAAGTTAAATATAAGGTACAATTTGTGAATGGAAAATGACTTACAGGAAGTGGAGCCAGAATTGGGAAAATCTTTCCCCAATCCTTAAGAACCGATTTGTAATCGAAGACTTATCATGCCCTCTTGAGGTTTCACAAAGCAACCGTGGAGGACTGCAAACAGTGGTAGGTATTAGTAACCGAATCAAAGATGATAGAAACAAAAAAAATATTTATAGAAGAACGAATCGGGCAACTTGCAAACGCGACTCAGAGAAGATAGAATTGATAAAACGAACCAATGAAGATAGAAATGTATTAGACATGTATTGGTCTGGAGAATCGAAGACGATAAATAGGAAGCTAATATATAGAGGAAGCTACTCCGTCCAGGGCTCGGGTTATTCTCTTGGGTAATTTGATGGCGAATTTGATGAGGATCCGTCAGGAAGGCGTTTTCTGGTGGAATGATGTGAAGGAAGCATTGGAGGGAGTACTGGTAAGGCAGAGGAAATCTTATTCTGCTGGTGATTAGGTGGTGCCATGAAGATTCCCATACGAATTTCTGCGGGTATGCTCGAATTCAATGCATTCTCATTTAGGATTTGGTTCAGCCTGGTTAGACCAGGGCAGCAGAAGTTGTAAAAAAGCGCTTTGGACGTCCTCACTTCAATGAAACCGCCGGTATTGGAAGCCAATTAAACAAAGACGCAGTGTAATATATTTTAGATATATACACTTGTATACATAGTATAATATAATTATATATTGTACAAATATTGCAATATAGTGTAATATTATGTAATTGCAAATTTTATACTTGTTATATCATATTGAACTATATGATGTAATATTATAAGCAAATGATATTTCTCTAATATAAATTAGAGCATATGTATGAATATGTAAAAAAAACAAAAACCATGAATGGGATCCGGCCGGGAACCAATACCAGTTCTTGGCAAGGAGAACTTAGAACCAGAACTGGACCTGTCCACCCTTAGCTCGGATTCACTCGTTCATCTAATTATATCCAAAGGCTAAAAGCAAAAGTTAAACAATGCAGATTGCTATCTTTGCTTTGGACACAAGAAAATAGCAGCCTTTCAAATTCGCGCATGTAATCAATGATGGGATCAGGTGAAGACGGCTCTGGGCCTTCTGCTTGCTAGTTTTCGGACTCTTCTGCAGTTTCTGGAAATGGAGGTAATGGAGGAGCTTGCGGAAGCTGTAAAAAACATAAAATAATTAATATGAGCATGACACATACATGCCATCAAGGATGCTCCATTTGCCTTGCGAGGTTCGGAGGGTCCTAGAGTAGAGGATGTCAAATGGCCTTGGCCTATACTTAGATATAGTATTTAGGTTTAATAAAAATTGTCAAGACTTGAAAAAAACTGGCTGCTAAGTCTTATAATAAGCATAATAACGGGGGTACCTAACGTCCCCTTGTTCGCTAGCTAGATGTGGCATATTTTGCTTGAAAGCAGAGTGCCTAGCTTTTAACTTTACATGTTTAGCCAAATATCCTTGCCCCACAGTCCCTCAAATGTGATTTAGCTGCTGAAAGGTGACATCAAAAGAAACATAACATTCCCTTTTCCTTCTTTTTTAAATAACACTGAGGATATTTAGACCATGATCTATTGGAACCACGAACCTGGATACATTTATATAAATGTATATAAATGTATTGAGAAGATCATATGTGGCATTCAGTTGTTTGTTTGTCAGTATAAAATGGGACAATATTACCAGGACGGAGGGAGTATCAAAATGCCATATCCAATCTTCTGCAGTTTTGTTGCAGCAAAGGTAAAACGATTGGATTGAAGCGACCTTGTGTTAATTTAGCATTTGAGAAGATCATATGCTAAATTCAATATCCAATATTAATTCAGTTGTTTGTTTGTCAGTAGAAATAGTGTTGCTTTCTTCTCATTGGAATCTGCAACAGTTCAATGCATTAAGGCCTACTAAGTGTGGTCTTATCTACACATTTTTAAAGGATCTATGTTTCTAATTTGGTGCAAAAAGAACTCTTTGGAGCATTTCCATGGAGCCGGTGACACAGAACCCTAGAAGATTTCAATATAATGGCACCACTAATTAGTGACATTATACACGTGAAGTAGGATAAAAGTCTTTATAAGAGAATGTGAAGCTGGAGTGAAGAAATAAAAGAATGAAAATATTTCTCAGCCAAGTAAACATAAAAAAAGGAAATGCTGAACTTTATCGCTTAATGGGTTATTTGTAGCCCTAGAATGGTGAGCTTGGAAGAGCTCACAGGGATCAGATTACATTATTTTATGAATGATCTCAGTCTATTAAAAATAAAAGAATGTGTGGTCAGTCGGTCATCGAAGAGTCATTATTCATAAATCAGAGAGCAACTTCTCTTACTAGTTACAACTTACAACCAAAGCAATGTGATTACGGTTTAAGATTTTATATTTTAAAGAAGGGATAATGCCAAGCACTAATCGTGAAAATTTACCGCCACTAAAGACAATAACAAGTTGGATGAAAAGAACAATCTGTAATCTCTATGATTGGAAGTTATTTTAACTGAATTGCCATCTGACCAACACTTACATATGGATCGGAGTGTTGGACTGTTAAGAAAGGTTTAATAGAGGCGCAAATGAGTGTCTATGAGAAGGATTCGTGGCAAGACTATAGAGGATGGGATCAGAAACAAGGACTTTTTACGGATGCGGTGATCATTGAAGAAAAGACAGGGGAGAACCAACTACATTCGTTATAGTACATTTGCCTACGCGTAGGTAGTGCCCTAATTCCCTATTACGCAGAGTGGAGTCCTGGATTGCCAGCAATTTAAAAGGCTCCGCGGTAGACTAAAAATGACATGAATAGAAGGGTGTAAAAAAACATTATGGTTCCAAGAGCACACTTGGTACATGTCATAGAGTAGAAAGTGAAGATATTAATAGAGGACATCATAACCTTGAAAGATCATCTAAAGGGTTTATGTACCAAATCCTTTGTTGTTGGTGCTTGTATTCTGAACTTACTTGAATGCAAGCTCCTTTAAGCTTTCATTCCACCCTTCTAGGTGCTGATCAAAAAGAGCATGTGTCCTGAAACTTATCTGGAACACATTTGGTGATCCTAATATTAGTTCCAGCATCACAACCCCAACACTCCAGCATGGTAAATGCTTTACAGATCAGCCACATAGATTAGATGTGGGAAGAACTGAAGAAGTTCATAAAATATCTTGTTCATCTCACTCTTTTTTCCTTTTTCTGTTTGGAAAGGGAAGCAAGAAGATATCATAACTATTAGATATACTCTAAATAGACTGTCATGTAATAGTTTTAGCTATTACTTAACCAACTCTATATATATCTGTGTTGCTGCTTCACTTTACAACAATAATACAATTTTCATTTCCTCTCAATCTCTCTCTTATCTTTCTAATATGGTATCAAAGTTCAGTTGAAGCAGCTACAAGTCTACCATATTCCTTCCCACTATCAAGTTGCTGATATCCTCACTAAAACACTTTGAAGCTCCAGCTTTGTTGCTCTAAGAGACAAACTTATTGTGATCAGTGCCTCACAATAAGTTTGAGGAGGAGGGGGATTAGATACACTCTGAATAGACTGTCCTATAATAGTTTTAGCTATTACTTAGAGTCTCGGTTATAGTCAACTCTATATGACTTAACCAACTCTATATAAATCTGTATTGCTAAATAGACTGTCCTGTATGAGTTTGTTATGAGTTTTAAAATAGACTGTTTGTTACGACTTAACCTACTCTAAATAGACTGTCCTGTACGAGTTTGTTATGACCTAACCAACTCTATATATATCTGTATTGCTGCTTCACTTTACAACAATAATACAATTCTCATTTCCTCTCAATCTCTATCTTATCTTTCTAATAATAACTCTGTGTTTCCCTAGTAGTATGTGTAATGTGTATGGAAAACAACTAAGCCACATTCACCAGTAATATGAACTAGGTTTCCCACAGTATTCCTTTTTCCCTGAATGAATTCAAAATATATAATTACTTGCTAGCTTTTACATTGTCAAAGCAAGATACAATCAGCTCACATTTGTAGGACGCATTTTTTTCTGCTACTTACATTGTGTTCAATCATTTCAGGTATTTACTTCTTTGAGCAAGTCAATTGTTCCTGATCTCTTTATTACAATCATCGAACAGTCAACATTTATATGTTGAACCATAGCAAATAGGCTGCCGTATATACAAAGGATACAAATTAACTCAAACCTTTCATGTACACTCGTCGATCCTCCTACTCAAACATATAAATTGCATTAATTATTAAAATATAATTACACATGTTCCACATTTCAAAAGTGTCAATGATGATCTCTTAAAAAACTTTGTGATGGGTTGACTCGCAGGATTCCAACGTAGCAGTTGGCGTACTAATCGCAAAGACCATATATTTGGAAACCTCTACAACATGCAAACTGGGTCTTCCTTTTAAAAAATGAATAGAGAAGCTGACCAGAACCTTGTGACATCCACTAGTAGCAGTCATGGTTCTAAAACTCGCCCAAATCGGCCGCCTAGGCGCCGGAAAGACGCTACTCGGCAAGCTACCGTGGTGATTTTCCTGTTTCCCCTCCCCAAATCGCTCTACCGACTAATCGGCTGCACAGAATGAGTAGTCGCCCGAATAGTTACACTGTTATTCGGCTATTGCAAAAAAAGACATGCCCTGTTTTAATTTTCCGATGAAACAATGCCCACTTTCCTGATGAAACCTCATGTTTGACTCTTCTCTTCGAACGTCCATTGATGAGGGACAACTCCCTCTTCACTTCAATTTCCGGATGCCCCTTCTTCATTGACTTTGGAACCAACGTAGGTAAAGATCTTTTGAATGACTTGATTAAGTTACTTTGTTATTTAGACAGATTGGAATATCTGTGTTGATTTCTGTTGACACAAGATACTTAATTGAGATAATTTGTTTGTAATTAGTATGGGTGTATGTGAGAAACGAGACTGAGTGATAAATTGAAATATTGGTAACTAATATTGGAAGGAACTTGAAACGTGGTTATAGTGTACGATAAAATTCCTCAAAGAAACTATGCAAACTTTGACTAAAAATTTATTTCATTTACCTTATTTTTCTTCAAAAAAGAGTTGAGAGG